GGGTGGAGCGTTGCTGTGGGGCCGGGGGGGATGTGGGAACCCCACGGGTGGATCGTTGCTGGTTTAAATGGGAAATAAGGCGGTGCTGGGAAATAAACCGGACAGTGAATGCAGCCAGCGTCTATTTCACGTTTATATGCACATAAACCAGGTATCTGGGCTGAAATAAGGGGTTTTGGTTCCACGCTGCTGTGGTTGATGTGATATAATTGTATCTGGTAATGCACAATGCCCTATTATTTTTTTTTTCCATCTATGAAAAATAATTATTATTTGTATTTATATCCCAAATTTCTCTTTCTTTATAGATTGTGCATCAGGTTTGGGATTCAGACATCCTTGTCTTGCAGACTCTTCTAACTGCAGTCTGTGCTCAGCTGCTGAAATCACTTTGATTTTCTTTTTGCCTTGTTTTGATTTTATCCTTGTAAATATAAGGAAGTTTTTTGTAACATCTTACTCGTAGGAAATTACTGATTTCTTTGAATATTGATACATTTGACAGCGGAGTGCAACTGAAGTGAAAGGTGATTTGTTTCTAATCGCTCAGGACTAATTACCTGACTTGATTTCTTCCTCTCTCTGTTACTTTTGTGTCTTGAAACAGCCACACAAACCCCACGGCTGCAGCTGGCACTCATTACAAGCTCAGTGAAGGAGAGGAGGTTTAAACTACATGGAATTTGAACCACCCTGTTTCCTCTGAGGTTTAATCCCCTCCAAGACTCTGTTGAAGTCACAACCACACCTACCGCGCAGAAATTAGTCATGTAAGATGATTTAAAAAAAAAAAAAAAGTAATTTTAAACAGCCTTTAAATATTAAATGGGTTTTATATATAAAATTCAGTGGGAATAAAAAAGTTTTCATCCTGCCTTCGTAAAAACTGAAGTATTTTGTGAAATACAACTGGTAAGGAGGGAAGAGGAATAATTTTAGAGACTTGATTGGACCTGCATGATCATAGTTACTTCCAAATTTAATTAATTTCTAAGGCACATCGTTATTTTACTGCCAAAACATGTTGAATGATGGGTTGCAATCAATATGTTCCTGTAATGTTATCTTTACACTCCAGTTTTATTTTACATTTGCGTCTCGCCCCCATCATTACACTAAGCAGTGTCTATTTAAGAGCTTTTTTTCTAGTCCTTGGATGAGATTCAGCTTCTGATATTTTATTTTTAAAATTATTTTCTGAGAAAAAGGAAATTTTTAAAAGGTATTGACGGAAAACCCTTCAAACTGTCTGTGGACTGGATCTAGTGCTGGGGGAGTGGTGTGGCTCAGTGCCTGAGCTGGCTTTGAGCCTCTGTGACACTAAAAACACCCTGGGGACACCTCTGATGTGCCTTTGAGACAGAGGTGATTTTTGAGCCCAAAGTGTCTTTGATCAGTGATGAACAAGACCATCCACAGCTGTCTGATGACTGCTGCTTTCAGAGAGACAAATTCTTATATTTGCACTTGATTGACAAATAATATTTCATCAATATCTTGAAATGAAATTAGCAGCTTCTTCCCCATCAGCAGAAGGTCACAAGACCGTAAATTTAGCTGTTTCAAAAGGGGAAATGGTGTAAATAACATCTCCTCTGTAAGTCAGGTGGATAATAGCACAAAACTGAACTTCTGTAGGTGGAAATGTTTCTTGGAATTCAGTTTCAATTTTGAACAGCCTGGAGAAGTTTTTTAAATGAGCTGATGAGTTAGCAGTTCATCAGCGTTGCACCACAGTCAGAAGCATCTCAATTCATTTTTTTAACATCCTCTTTTAGCTTTGCTGCCACTGTATTCAAGAACCGTGCACTTTTCCAGTGGGATCACTTCTGTTTTGAAAGAATAAAATGAGGAACTAAATCATGTGTACATCATTTTTTTAATTATTTTTTTTTTCCACAGAGATAGCAGTGAAGAAGAGTGTGTAAGAACCTGTCCTCTTAACAGCAGCTGTAGTAGGAGAGTTCTTGCCTGGGTGATTTCTCTGCCTCTCTTACCCTCCTGCAATTGGTAAGTCTGGGCTTTTTTATGCCTTTTTTTTCCCCTTATACTTTGTTCCAGAATGCAGGCACCATTTACTTTATTTCAAAGCACAATTTTACCATGATTACCATATTTTAGCTCTTATGTTAACACTATGAGCAATATAGCAATATATTTCAATATTTCCATTTTTTTAATATTTCAATATTTCAAAGCAATATAGCAAAATTTCTGAGCATGTAAGGATCTGGATACACAAATCCTGTTTTTCAAGCACAAATGAAGTGTGCAGCATTCCAAATTCCATTCACTCTTAAGCCAGATTTAGGTGGCCAAGTACTCTTGTCTCTTTCCAAAGTGACACTTGGCTTCCTAAGTCCCTTAAAAGCTTAAGAAAATGTTGTCCTGCCATTTGCATATGTAAATGATTGTGTAGATAAGCAGTTATGCTAATGTAACCAGGAGAAGGCATGCTCTACTGCCTTTCTCCTCTGCTTTGGTCTCACTTGGCAGTCATATCAGAATTCCAGTGTTACCTTCAGCTTCAGGGAGGCAACAGTGCAATTTAAGCTAAAAAAAAACCAACCAAAAACCAACAAAACAAACCCAGAAAAGAAAAAAACCACAAATGATTTTACTGTGGTGATGTGTAATAAGGAGGAAAGTAGAAAATTTCCATCTCTGAAGTAACTGGAGCTTTAGAATAGCTTTCTGGAAGGAGTATTGGGATTTTAAAAAAAAGTGACCCGTGTGTCAAGTTTCACTGCAGAACGAATAAGCCAGAGAATATGGATTGGCTGTGGATAGTTAGAAGCAAGTGAGTACAGTGAGCAGGATCTTTCCAGTTAGATATCAAATATCATATTAAATTTGCAGAGGTTTTGTTTGTGTGGAGAGCTATCTAATGACTTACATGGCATTACTACCAAGGTGAATTGCCAGCACTGTGAAAAGTGGTGAGTCTTTATTGTCCAGGATGGAAATGGAGCTTTTGGGGCATTTCCAACAGCACACCAGTATGTCATGTTCTTTAGGAGATTTACTCTTCAGTAAAGCTGCTGCATCCCTTGCCTCTCCCCACTGTTTCCAACCATCAGCACGCCAGAGGCATGTGCAGGTACTTGAAACATGTGGAGTTTAAAAAGACATTAGAAACACAGAGGGATTTTCTTGTCTTCATCTTTCCTGTTCTTCCATAAGAGGAGTGGTGATGATCTTTTCCTTAGTGAGTTCCTTTGGCTCTAAATGGAAAGATGCCCACTGATTTTTAACAGGAGGTGAAATGAAGAGGAATGTTAAAGAATCTTTAAACATAGTAGATTGTGAGACATATTGGCTAGCTTTTAATTATTCATGTGCATTTAGTAAAACTAAATGTGGAGCCTATAGATCCACAAACATACTCATCCCTATTGGGAAAACTAAATGTGGAGCCTATAGATCCACAAATACTCATCCCTATTGGGAAAGGCAAATTAACTATTTATATCTTTTTCAAATCATGATTAAAAGGGCCTCTAAAAACATTTGTATGTGTGAACTGCATTTTGGATGCAGTCCCAAAGAACTATCAGCACCTTTTGAAGCTCCTTGGCACCTCACACAGAGGCTCAGGCCAATTCAGAATTCACCTCTGTGTCTGAATTTGATCTTGATTTCCTTCCTGTGTCACCTCTTTAGCTCTTAGAAATGGTTGTCTTTCAATGGAAAAAGTGGATTTGTGACTGGTGGTAGCGACAGAGACGAGTAAAAGAACTTTGCTGGTTTTTAAGCATGGTTTATCTCAACTGGCCACAATGCAGAAGAGATACTTAGGAACAGAAGTGATATTACAGGTGAAGAACCCAGTTAATGTCCTTCCTCTATCTTCAGAATTATTTTTGTTGACATGGTGTAGAGGTTAAAATTGTAGAAAACCAGGCAGTTTCCTGTTTTCTTTTGCTCTAGAATATTTATTTTTAGTAAAATCACAGCCTCTGTGGAAATTGTGCGTTTTTTATTATTGTTCCTCTTTCTCCAAATAAGTTTGAGGCGCTCTGCCTGTCTTTCTTTCACTGACAGGACTACATGGAACTCTGGTGATTAGACTGTTACTCCTACTTGTCATCATGTTGGCAGAAGGCATCTTAACTAGACTGGTTTATAATGAAAGCTGTCGTCAAGACAAGCCTCACAAATCTCATGCATCCAGAAAGGATAAAGAGGGAATCTGGAGACAGCGACTTGTAGACAACCCCAAAATTAAAGGCTTTGCTGATGGAGGTGAGAAGCAGGATGAGATCTCTGCTAGCAGTAGCAAAATGGAACCCAGGAGCAGATCCATAAAGGAGGTACCTGCAAAAGATCAGAAAACGCTTGTTAAAGGAACTGTGTCACCAGCTTTACATATCCCCCAGAGAGAACAAAATCCTGAACAGGTGGATTTGTACAGATCCTGGTCATGCAACAGCATTTATCAGAACTATCCTGATTTACATATTGGGGGAGACCATGTGGGGGACCATACGTGTGATTCTGGTTGTGTTTTGGACCATGTGTGTGATGAACTTCCTGATGGCCCTGTCTTACTGTCCGTCGATATTCCTCTAGGTCAGTCCCCTCTGGGTGAGCATCCCAAAAAGCCAAGTCTAAAGTCCCTGCCTGGAGATGAAGCTGGAGAAACAAGTATCACGCTCTGTGAGGAGCCTCTTTCAAACTCCATGCTCAACAAGTACATGGAAACAAAAGTGGCAGAGCTCTATAAACAGTTTTTTGAGGAAAACTTGACCAGGTGTGGTTCTGTAAGAAACCTCCTTGCTTGCAGCTTGATAAGGAATAACCTGAATCAGATAAGCTTCCAGATATCCCAGGAGCAGAATATAGAAACATCAAAAGCCAGAGAAGTGCTCTTGCACTCCTTAGCTTTGTTTAGTTTGCACAATGCTACCAATAGAAATAGCTCTGAATTTAGTACTCCAAACTTACAGATCTCAAACCCAGCGGGTGTGAAAAAGAGCTGCAGGACACAGTTTACCTCGTGACTGACCTGCTTAACTGAAGAGATGAAGACGATTCAGATAGGAATATTTCACTCCAAGGATTAGGTTGGGAAATGAAAAACACTTACACACTACAGACTTCTTCAAATAAATATTTTAAAGCCTAATCTGAACTTTGTCTGTGGTGCTTGTTAGCTGAGGAAGTAAAGGCCACTTTTCTAATCCAGAACTTGAAATTCATTTCTCTCTAAAATGCTAATCAACCATATTTTTATAATGTATATATCTTCCTCCTAAGACCCCAGCTGTATGAGTGATTGTACTCATGTACCATTGGGTTTACTCCTGCAAGAAAAATCAATCAAGGCACACGCTGATAAAACTTTGATCTAAGAGACTGATCCACCCAACCAGTAAGTAAAAGAGTCAAATTGTCTTTTTCCTGCACTTTGGATTCAGCTGTGTAGTTAAAGCCAAATTTTGGACATTTCTGCATCAAATTTTGCTCCTCCAAAGCTTGATCATAGCAGCTAAAAGTATTTCTTTGCTTTGAAAATCTTGTCAGCAGATGGAGATGTTCAGGACTCTGGGTTATTTTGTAGGAAATATAATAACATGAGACATGAATCGAGACACTGATATGATTGTCTATGTTTGTCCTGCATAGGTGGAGTGTGTTACAGTGAAAATCTGGGTGAAATAGTTGATCAAGATTGTAACAGTATTTCATTTTCTGTTAAAAAAAAAAGTTTTTCCTTCAAATAAATCCTTCCCTTTTCAAGGAAAGGCACTCAGCTTCCTGTCAGTGTGTTATTATTTCATGTTCCATTCGTGTTTGTTGTAAATGACTCTGCCTTTTATTTCCTTGGAAGTGAAGCACCTGCAACCTCAGGAAGCCAAGATGACTGTGATGTTCCTGAAGAGGTAGTGCAAGCTTTCTTCATCTTTCTTTGGAAATTGAAATGCAGATTTTGGTATGGAAATGTTGTTATTTAGCTTTCAAATCCATTTTTCTTCCTTTTCTGTTACTACTTTAGAGTGATTATTTAAACTGGAAGTTAATTGTTGTTAATTGCTAATTAATCCCCTTCTCAACAATCAAAAATCAAGTCAGGAATCCCCTGGAAGATATCAAATAATTTCATTAAATTCTGGAGGAGTCTGGAGTGCACAGCACTCTCGAGTCTTCCTCAGTAGAGGTGCAGAAAATAAGTGAACTGAGGGTGGAAGGAAAAATATTCTGAAGGGCATCAGCAACTAAAGGGTTTGCAATTAATTGTAGGGGAAAAAAAAGTGCACTGTGGCATTTGTGCTGCCTTGCCCTCACCTTTGATTTCCCCTGGGATGTATTTATAGTTCAAACCAAAGTCTTGAAAGAAGTTAATTGCACAGGGTTCTTCCTCAGGAAACGTGGAAGTCAGGATTTAAAGCTAAGGTCCAGACTCTGCTCGTTTTTCTGTCCTTCCCGACCCTGAGAAAGGAGTTAGAGGAGACCTGTTCTCTCCTGCTGACCTCACAATCCTGAAAGTCAACTGTAGTTTCAACATTGATGTGAGCAGCAGCTTGAGAAAATGGAGAGGCAGAAGAGAATATGGAAATTAAAATTCTCTATCTGGCCAAATGTGAGGTTCCTGTGAGGCTGTGTCCATCCCACACCCTTTCAGGACTGGTTTCAAAGCTCATTTTTGAATTAGTTTTATCAAATAAGTGGATAATTTTAGCTGGAATGGAAACACAACACAAGTAGTGTTATGAGAAAAGCTCATTCTCTGTAGTAGCCTTTATTCTACCCTGTGTTACACCCTGATGGAGGTGGTGAGCATGGTAAATCACAGAATGGTTTGGGTTGGAAGGGCCCTTAAAGCCCATCCAGTCCCAACCCCCCTGCCAGCAGCAGGGACACCTTCCACTAGACCAGGTTGCTCAAAGCCTCATCCAACCTGGCCTTCAACACTCTGGTTTAATCCAAAATTTAAATAACTCCTAAAAATTCACTTTGTAGGAAGCAAGATATCAAGGGTGTTGCTGCAGAATACATTTTGGGAGCAAAATCTGGTAATTTCTGTGAAGGTGAGACAAATAATTCACTTAAGTACTATTTTTAGTTCAATTTTCTTTGAATGGACATGTTTCAATCCATGACATGCTTTGGATTGATTTCTATTTGAAAGATACTGAGTCCTATTTTGAATTTAAGTGATGGAGTAAAACTCCATCAGCTACACTGGAGCTGTGCCCTTTTTTTTTTTCACTAGCAGGAAAAATGGCTCAGTGAACTCCAATTCCATAGGGAAAATCCCTTCAAAGGTGCATTTTTCCAGGCTGCTGGAGGAGAGCAGCTGGATTTTATTACAAATGAAAGCAGTGATGTATTTTACAGGTCATAACACATAAGGCTAAATTCTGGCTGGCATTTATGTTTATCCATGTGCCAGAAAATCTGAAATTGAAGGAGAAATACAGGCAGGGAATTTTATTATATTTTTTTTTTCCATTTCCAGTTCTCATTCCATGTTCCCACAGAGAAATGTTGTTCAGATACTGGGAGCAGAGCCCTGGAGTAAACTGGGACCTTCAGCAATTAACTGAGACCTGGAGTTAGGATGTAATTCCCCAGCCTATTATCAGTTGTGGGGTATAAACCCCTGGAGAAGGTGACTTAATCTACCTGGCTGTGTAACGGAGATTTTTATTTGTTAACAATTTTTCTGATATCTATTAAATAGTCAAATGATGATATCTAGTGGTGGTTTCCTTTACTACCATTTAGTTCAGAATTTCCAGAGGTTTACAACCATTTTTTTGCAAATAAATCTCAAAGTCCACCTTTTATTTGGAGGCAGGATTATATCCCACAAAAAAAAAGGGGATGTGCAGAATAACAGCTGCCATCAGTTAATGTTCTCATATTCTGCAGGTTAAAATCTAGAAAAATGCCAACCCAGCTTTCTCTCCTCTGGTTTATATAGGAAATTCCAGTTCAGATTTTTTCCTTTTCCTGTTTTAATCCTGTTTACTCCTATAGATTTGCAAAATTTACCTATTAGAATGTGGAATTTTATTCTTCAAAGCTAAAGTTCTTCACTTTATATGAAGACACGTGGTATGGCTCTGGTTCATGGCTTGTGCTTTTGATTTGGGTTTTCTGCAAACTCTTGAGTCCTGCTGTACCCAGCTGTAGGTCTCATAGAATCATAGACTGGTTTGGGTTGGAAGGGACCTTAAAGCTCATCCAGTTCCAACCCCCCTGCCAGCAGCAGGGACACCTTCCACTAGACCAGGTTGCTCAAAGCCTCATCCAACCTGGCCACAAACACTTCCAGGGAGGAGCAGCCACAGCTTCTCTGGGCAACCTGGGACACTGTCTGACCACCCTCACAGTGAAGAACTTCTTCCTAATATCTCATCTAAACCTCCCCTCTTTCAGCTTAAACCCATTTCCCCTTGTTCTGTCATTAACTGCCCTTATGAAAAGTCCCTCCCCAGCTTTCTTGTAGCCCCTTCAGGTACTGGGAGGCCGCTATAAGATCTCCCTGGAGCCTTCTCTTCTCCAGGCTGAACAGCCCCAACTCTCTCAGCCTGTCCTCACAGCAGAGCTGCTCCAGCCCTCGCATCATCCTGGTGGCCTCCTCTGGACTTGTTCCAGCTGCTCCATGTCTCTCTTGTGATGGGGGCTCCATAACTGGCTGCATACTGGTTTGGGTTTAGAATCACAGAAGCCCAGAATAGTTTGGATTGGAAGGGACCTCAAAGCTCATCCAGTCCCAACCCCCCTGCCATCAGCAGGGACACCTTCCACTAGACCAGGTTGCTCAAAGCCTCATCCAGCCTGGCCTTGAAGGTTTCCCAAGTTCTATGTAATATTACGGTTGTATAAAGCTCTGACTTACTATTTAAGAGTCCTTGATGCTCTTCAAAAAAATTTCTTGTTTTGTGCAATAACATAATTTCTTAATATGCTGTGTTGCTGTTTTTGCTTTTCATTCCCCATCTGTAGTGACTACACACTTCTGCTTTCCAGTGCAACATTTGTAAGACACACTGACCGTTGATTTATTTGCTCCACCCATTGCTCAACCCTATGAAGTTGCTGATTCAATAATTAATGACTACATTAATAACAAAGTTCAGAGGGAGAGAAAACCCAGGCTCAGGTCTGCTCACACTCTTTTTGTGTGTGTAAACTGCATTGTTTTATATGAATAACAGTCGGGAACTTAATGGAACAGGGAACAGAACTGCAAACTAATTAAAAAAAATGAAAAAGATCATGGCTTGCACTTTTGAATGAAGAGATTCTGATCGTTCCTGTTCCTCTTTCCTGTGAGATGAATTACAAAAAAAACTTTGCTGGAACAGAAAATGAAAACTTTAATGTTGCATATGGAAAAATTGTGCAAGTCAGACTGTAAAATGCTGTGCCTGGCTACGTGCAGTGGTGGTGTTTGAATGCTCAGGAGGGGAGCGGAGGGACACACGTAGAAACAGGACAAGAGGAAATGGCCTCTGGTTGTACCCAGGGCAGTGGAGATGGGATGTGAGGAAGAATTTCTTTGCTGAAAGGGTTCTGAGGCATTGGAAGGGGTTGCCCAGGGCAGTGGTGGAGTCCCCATCCCTGGAGGGATTGAAGAGTCGTGTAGACACAGTGCTGAGGAACATGGGTTAGTCATAGGGGACTGGTCAGTGTTGGGTTCATGGTTGGACTCGATGAGCTTAAAGGGCTTTTCCAATCGAGGTGATTCTGTGTGATTCTGTGATCCAATTCATCCTTCTAACTGCAACACAAAGTTAATTTCTCAATCTCTTCATGGCCCGTGATATCTGAGAAAGCCCCAGGCTCTGGCTTTGGGTTTTAGGGGT